TTAATAAGAGATGACTAAGAAAATAATGGAGAAAAATATAAAACTTTTTGAAAAACATAAAAGAAAACAAAATAGATAAGTAAACTATGTTCATTGGTGGGAATGTTCTATATTGTGAAGACAAAAACTTTCCTCACATTAATCTATATATCCAGTAGAATCCCAACCCAAATCCCCACAGGGTTTAGGGTTTGTTTGTTTGTTGTTTTTTTCATATATTTTGCTTTTTTTTTTAAAAAAAAATAGGACCTGACAAGCTGGTTCTAAATTCATATGCAACAGCCAGTAAAACCAAGCAAGAACTTAAAATAATGAAAAGTTTTTAAAAAGACAATAGTAGTATTCTTCATAGCAGACACAAAGGCGTATTATAAAATGATGATAATAACTATTATCAGATGGAAGAAAGACACTCAAGCCTAGAAACTTGGTATCTGACATTGTATTACAAATCAGTTGGGAGATAACAGGAGTTTTAATAAATGCTTACCATATGGAAAAAATATATAGATCCCTATGTCACATCACATATAAAGATCAATTTTAGGTAGATTAAAGATCAAATATGAAAAATAAATTCTTATGACTCAAAAAAGAAAATATATGAGACTATTGAGTTTGGGTAAGATTTCTTAAAGAATTAATGCATAAGGGACACCTGGGTGGCTTAGAGGTTGTGTCTGCCTTCCGCTTAGGGCGTGATCCCGGGATTGAATTTCGCATCGGGCTCCCTGTGAGGAGGCTGCTTCTCCCTCTCTGCCTGTGTCTCTGCCTCTCTCTCCACAAAAAATTTAAAGCAGTTATACTACGAAGGTCACTATAAAATAAAATGATACAGAGAGAAGATACTAGCAATAACTATAACAAAGATTTTGTATCTAGAATTTATAAAGAGCTAGCAATCTACTCCTAGACATATACTGAAAAAATTCTCAAATTTTTGTACAGTATAAAATGAAAAATATTCAGTGATACCTTATTATTTTCAGTTCTCGGTAATTATAAATAAATATCCATTAATTAAGAGAATGGACAAGTGAGTTATGGTTTAGAACACTATACAGCACTTAAAAGAAATGAATCACAGATATATATATCAGTATAGGTAATATAAAATATATAATGCTGAATAAAAAAAGGCAAATTTTAGGAATACCTACAGTAAAATGCTAAATACTTTTTTTAAAATGTGCAAAATTCTGTTAAGTACATTTTGGATATATTTATGTTTACTTATATAGTGAAAAGTTTTTTTAAAAAATTTTTTATTGAAGTTTGATTTGCTAACATATAGTATAACACCAGTGCTCTTCCTATCAAGTGCCCCCCTCAGTGCCCATCTAGTGAAAATCTAAAAACATATATGAAAATAATGAACTCCAAATCCAGGGTAGTAATTACCTTTAGTGAGAGAAGAAATAAAATAGGATCAAGGAGGGGTCCTCAAGGATCTTTAATTATAATATTTTATTTCCTAAAAATCAAACAAAAGCAAAAGATCAGTAGCAAATATGACAAATGCTCAATATCACAAGTCCATGTGTTAGGTATTTGTATATGTGTAACATTGTTCTCTACTCTCTTATATATGCTTAAAATATCTTGTAATTATGGATAAATTAACAGGAAAAGGGAAGTTATTTTTTTTAAGATTTTATTTATTTATTCATGAGACACAGAGAGAGGCAAAAACATAAGCAGAGGGAGAAGCAAGCTCCACGCAGGGAGCCTGATGTGGGACTTGATCCCAGGTCTCCAGGATCACGCCCTGAGCCGAAGACAGACACCAAACCACTGAGCCACCTAGGCGTCCTGGAAAAGGGAAGTTAAATGACCAAATTCTTTTCTCTTGCCCAGACAGGCATGGTGCCCTACCCCTGTCCCAAGGCAGAGTCTGTAGTACTATCGGTAGATAATCATGTTGCAAATGGACAGACAGTGTTATTTCTTTGGAAAAATGACTTCTGAGTTTCAAATGACATATTTTTGTGCCACGATAAATTGAAGATTGTGTACTCTTATAATTTTTTTTTTTTTTGGTACACATGGCATCTTCCTTTTTGGAGGATACAATGATGGGTAAAGCAGCTGACACAGCGGAGTCAGAAGAACAGCATCGAGGACTATCAAAGAATTGTGACTCATCCAAACTTTTGATGATGGTTTTGAGTTACTAGAACCACTGAGGGGCATTCTCAATCATTATCAGAAGATAAAATATCACTTGGTATTGTTTTGTAGCAATGCTATCAATTCCAAAGAATTAAAACAGAATTCAATTACGTTTTATATTCACTTAACTCTTTCTTTATCCATTCTGACTGGTGCTCATTGGAATAAATCATTGAATCCGAAAAGACCCCAGGTGTACGCTGCATTGTTCCTCATAGGTAGACTTTCTTGGGCACAGCCTTTGCTCTGGACACTGAAAAGTAAACACAGTATTGCTATAGAGGAAAGATTCCCTCTGAGCTGGAACAATCAGCAACATTTCCCTTCTTCTGGTTAGGTGCCCTCAGCCTGGATTGTTGATAAAATGATTATTTTCCCCTTTTGTCATACACATATAATTCAGCTTCGGTGATGGTGGTTTGGTAGTAAATGGCCTTTTTTGTAATTAGAATGTGATCTGTGACAGGATAAAGATTGAAATTGCACTTTGTGAAATGAGCAGGTCTTTGTTTGCAACATTAACTCAATTCCCACTGCCATAACTGAGGGGAAAGAATTGCCAGAGCAGTTCAGTGACTGGATTGAACTTTTCCTATAGGAATCATGTAGCTGTACAGCTGCGGAAACACAGATTCACTCCCCTATTGCTGGTTTTCTGACAGCTTTCTCCGTAGAGCAGTTTGAAGAGTGGAGAGCCCTGTTTCTGAGACAGAGAAGTGTTTTCACACCTGAAGTGTAATTTCACACCTTGTGTTTCTCAGCAGATAAGTGAATAAAATAACACATCAAACCGGAATAGAAAAAGATCAACATAGAAAGAAAACTGCAGGTTGTAATTTGTTTCCTATCTTACAATACTCTTGTAGGAACAGTAAATTACAGAGATCTGGATTTACACTTTTAAAAGTTTGACTGGTTGTTAGGTGGGAAAGTGAGCAGTAAACACTAATCAGCTTTCAGCCTGCATTGAACAGAATGTACAGAATGACAGAATCTGGGAAACGCCCTAACATTTAGGGTTTTTTTTTTTTTAAGACTAGGACACACATAAGTAGTGGTAAAAATTATAGTTGAGAGAGGGTCAAGAAATTGTCAATTTAAGTGATTGTAATATAAATATAATTGTCTTCAAGGATAATTATCTTTATAATTATTCAGGAATTTTAGCAGAAGTAATAGACTACATTAGTAAAATTTGGATATTTTCTTTCCTTTCTATAAATCATTAAATTTATGAGGCTAGTCACCATTTTATAGCATTCTAGTGCAAAGATGATAAAACCAAGGGGTTTATCTTCATTTTGCAAGTTTAAAAGCCCAAGACCAAAAGAAAAAAGAAAGTTGAGCCTGCTGAATAGCCATGTATATATGTTACAGAATATTTAATATATATCGAATGTCTACCATGTTTTAGATACTAGGCCAGGAACCAGAGGTACAGTCATAAACAAGGCCTTTCCTCTTTCAAACTGACACCCTTGCAGATGAGTAAGCAATCAGTGATAATGCTAGGTACTAAGTCCTGGGATAATCTGAAGCTAGGTTTTGATGAAGCCCACAGAGGGGTTATCTTAACCAGATCTGGTCAGGATGTGGACAAGTGGTTAGCAAAAATTCCTGGCTAAAGCCACATCCAGACCCAACTAATGAACAGAAATAATGGGAAAGTGGATATCACTTGTGGTATCAGAGTATGTACAGTTGGTACAGAAGTGAAAGGGAAAGAGAAAGGTGGGTTGGAGGGATGAAGGTAGTTCAGTGGAGTGAGAATGCTATATATAAAGGCAGCAGTGGTACCCAGTGAAACTGGAAGGTAAAGGGTCAGAGTATGTAATCTATACCAAGAAATTTTGTTTTTACCCTGGGATTAGTGGGCATTATTGGTTTTGTCTATTAGTGAGAGTGACATAAACTGATTTGCATTTTACAGAGCTCCCTATGACTGTGGGATTGGGCAGCCTGGTGATGGGAGATGGGTGAGGAGACCTGCAGTGATGTAGGCAATGGAAGCTTGTGACTGGAGCTTGCCATGCACACTGAGTTCAGGGGCCTTGGGGATGGAAAGACATGGACTGCCCTAGATGCTATTTAGGATACAGAATCAACAGAGCTTGGTAATTGATTGGCTGGACTAGGGGTGAGGAGGCAGGCTTGTCAAAAATGTCATCCTGACTCCTGATTTGGATAATTGAGTGGATGATGCTACTGTTTGCAGAGATGGGGAATACTGGAGCAGCAAGTTTTTAAGAGTTGGGGACATGATGTCCGAGACACGTGTGGGATCTATGTCCACAGGAAGAAATAAGTATGGCTTGAGTTTGGAAGAGAAGTCTAGGCCAGAGATACAGATTTGGTACTTGTCCCTGAGTGGGTAAGATGATTGAAAGAATATTGTATGTAGGGAGTGAGAAGAGAAGATACTCTTTAATCTAGGCATAAAATAGTATTTTGATTATGAAAAGAAAAATACACATAGAGCAAATGTACATATTTATCTTCATCCACATTTTATTTATTTATTTATTTATTTAAGAACCATGCATGCTCACAAATAGCATTGTGGTTATGCATGTATACACCTTTGTACATGTAGAGCTTCTAATGAATGCCAGCAAGGTACCCATAGCAGGCTGCAGGAAACATTAAACATTGAAGGTAATGATCCCTTTCCTTCATGGGAAGTACGTTAGTCCTACAGCAAACACCAGGCCTAAGGATGCTGAACAGTATGTTAAAAAGGAAAAATTTGGAGCCTGTGTAAATATTACAGCAAAACTAGTGGAACTGAGCTCTGGTGTTTTCTTATTTCTGTTGTTTTTTTTCCTTAGATACTTATGGAAAGCTCTTTCTTCTCAATTCTGTGGGTCAAGAGATGTCCCGTTGTAAGACGTCCATTCGACGTGGTCAACCCAATCCTGTCTATAAGGAAACGTTTGTTTTCCAGGTGGCCCTCTTTCAGCTCTCTGATGTCACATTGATGATTTCCGTTTATAACAGGCGTACTATGAAGCGTAAAGAGATGATTGGTTGGATTGCTCTGGGCCAAAACAGTAGTGGAGAGGAAGAACAAGACCATTGGGAGGAAATGAAGGAAACCAAAGGTCAGCAAATCTGCAGGTGGCACACCTTGCTCGAATCCTAGTTTTGCCAACAGGCATTTGCATGCTACATCTGCCCCAGTGACCAGTGTTATGGCCATTGATACCAACCCAGCATATGCTGGTAGGCATTTTAAAGACAGGCTTACAAATAGGTATTAGAATCTACTAACCTCTGGGACATTCTAAGCAGGATCTTTGGGTCTCTCCAAGGTTTGATTTGGTTCAGTTATTGTAATTTTTAAAAAACCACATACACGGTCAAGTGTACTTTATGGAAAATTAACCACAGTTAGGAACAGTGATGATGAGTTAATTTGTGTTAATATATTATTGAGTCTGGGTTCAGCCAGTGGAATGAAGCTTCTCTTGCTGTCTCTATTTGCTTGAAGAGTCCCCTGAGATTACAAGGGAGCTGTTAAATCTCACTATTGTAACCAGGTATGTGTATCAATCAGAATTTTGTTAATATGGTGCCAAAAAATTCCTTACTGCAGAAATGAATAAGATGCCTAGGTTCATAAGAGAATGTAACTGTCATCCTTAATCCCCTGTTTTACATTTTTCTCTTTATGAAGAAAACTCCTTATTTACCTAACAAATAAATGTTATAAATTCGTACTTACAAAACAAATTTTTGTTCATTAAATACCTTTCTTTCTCATTTATGTATTGCGGTTTCCTATGAGATTTGGTTAGATGAATAATTTTGAAGGTAAAACAATTGAAAAATACTGTTGAAAGATATCTTGTCTCCTTTTAATATGTAGGATTTCCAACTTATAATTTTCATAGTTTTTATGCTATTTTTCTCACCTCATAAATTCTTACAGAATAAGAAGAAAACTAAAAACAAACAAAAAACCTATTTAAGTCATGGATTTGTTGATTTTCTGAATCGAATGTTCTCCTTTAGATTATACTTTTTCTATATTCAGTGATATATACTCATACAAATATTTTGAATGTCCACCTGCATGTAAACCATATTCTTTTTTATGTAATTATCTTCCATCATTAGAGCATAGTAAATTGTACACAATGGGTCCTTAATAAATGTTGATTTAATTGACTCTGAAAAATAAACATGTTATGATACCTGTGAATGAAGAAATATTTTCAGCTTGTATGAAATGACACTGAGTTGGGTTTGTTTTGTTTTGTTTTGTTGAGCATTGAAAGTGCCTATAATTGTCATTTTCCATGGCATTTGCGGCAGTATATATTAGTCACTATGTGCATTCTGGGCATGTGCCATTCAGAACACTGATCTTGTACAGTGATGAGCATGAAATTGTATCTCCAACCGACTTTTACATATCTGTGCAGTGCCTGTTTATTTTTCTTTTGCTTATATGTGAGTCCTTAATTTTAATTACTTTAAATTGTCAGTAATAAAAGGGAAAATGTGTGTACATGTAATGTGGCACCTAATGTGCAGCTCTTCTGAGCAATTGCTCAGTCACTTATTTTTAGCTTTTATGTTTCATTGTTGACTTTTTGCTGTCTGTGGGAAGAGTGATAGCTAGTGATGGATGTATACAGTTAAAAACACATAACTCCTCCTCAGCTCTACATTTTGACAGATTGTAAATGTAGGCTGTAACACTTGAAGAACATATTTATTCCTTACAGTGCAGTATGTAATGGTTATCCTGACAAGAAGAGACGGGGGCACAGGATAATTCTTCTGTGATTTCAAGTACCAATTTTTGGAAGAAGTGATTTCAGGTGGAAGAATCAGAATTAGCAAAATAAATTAATATCTTAATTTCTTTTTAGGTCATGGGAGTTTCATCTCTAATACTGCTCGGTTATTGGGAATAAGTAATAAAACCATGCTCCTTTGGGTTTTTATCCTACCTTTCTTTAGAAGACCTCAAAGTGCTTTTCCAACATTATATCCATTAACTGCGGAGTGGTCTTTGCAGTGTGGCTCTCATCGAGTAGAACTGAGTGCAATTGATTAAGTAGCGGCACAAAGAATTGGCTTTTCACATCTCTTACTCTCTTTATGTGCTTGTGTTTAAAGGGAAGTAGAGCAGCCTTGTTATGCTTTCCTTTATGCAGTAACATAAAAGCAGCATTCACTTTAAGATTTACATTTGAAAAAAACCTGCATATATTGTACTGACCATCCTGGATTTCTCCCCCTCATATTTTCCTGCTCTCTGCTTTGCTGCATCCCTTGTCTTGCGGTGCCCAATAATCACCTATGCTTCATTTTCTGCTGCCTTGACCCATCAATTTTTAGGGTTTTCTGGTATAGTGAAGCTATCCTTGTGGGTTTGATCTCTTTTCTGATAAGTCTGTTTATGGGACTGTTGCAGGAATGTGCAGCATTTTAAGGAACAAAACGCCTGAAAGGCATTTTTTAATTTTTGTAATTGTACTATGTTGGTGCTATTCACCACGTAGGATGCATGTACATCTTGAATATACAGCAATCTAAAACTGTGTAAATATAAAATGCTAATGACAAGATACATTAAAATATGAGGCTGAATTTTTTTTTTACATTGACTTGAAATTCTGGTTTAGTAAGATCTTTTGATTTTGTACATTTCAACTCCCTTATTTGCTTGGCAAAGTCTAGACACAATGCACTCAGCATGTTTTTCTTTTCACTAGAGCTCTCACATCTACATTTGCTTTTTAACAGAGTTATGAAAGATAATTAGTTAGTTCAGTGGTAGAAAAGCTCCTTTTGCCTATTTTATCTAGCTAAGAATTAACATCTCATAGAGACATTTGAAATTGAAGAAAAGAAGCACCAGTATTTGTTACATGAGTAGTTCTTTCCATGATTTTTCTTGAAGACAGTGCTTTTTAAATACTACGATAGAGGGTAACTGCTGCACTAGGTTTATACAAATCTGCTTTATAGTGTATCTTCTTTCAGGACAGTAATTTACACTGAATTGAGAAGTGCTGGTCTCACCAATCATGGTGGTGGCTCTGGTGCTCCCTGCTCCCCTCTGACTATTGTTGAATTTGTAAATGGACCATTCACCAGGCAGCCAGGCATCTGCTCTGGCTTCTCTCTCCTTCATTGGCTCCCTGTGTGATGCGCAGTTGTTTGTGCCCCTGTTTATGCTGATGTAGCATAGCTGTTGGAAGGAGGTCTTGCCTTCCTTAACAGTAGAAGAACTTGTACCGCTGTTGGATGTATTACTCTTGGCATCCACCTGCACAGAGTTCGAGAAAGAATCCTCACTGTGACTGCTAGGGGGCAAAGAGAGCATGCTACTGCATTGTCCTTCACTTAAGGCACCCAGTACTCTGCTCTTTCTTTGATGACAGTTACTGATAGAGCTTGGACACTGATGTTCTCCGCAGTGTGAGGTGCTGTGGTGAGAACATAGCCTCTGTATTTGCAGCAGAGGGGCTTTGGGGGCATTTTACAAATTGTTGACACCCCTTGGTCAGACACTATGCTTCACATCTGTGTACACTATGGCTGTACTAGATGCTCATATCGGAGAACCAAAAATTCTTTTCAAGTAACTCATCATTTAAGTTGAAACTACCATTGAGTTTAGTAAACATGATTCTCTGATAGCCACTAAATTTATGAATCTGATGGTTCAGTGTGGGCATTGAACTGTGGGGTTCCCCAAAGGCCAGGCTATCCTTTTGCAGCAGAGAAGTTAGTATGTTAAGATCAGAAAAGTGAGAGAAGAGGATTATTTGTAGATGACATAAAACCAAATAGAGACACATGTTTTAACAACAAACAGGACCAGAAAGCACCTGCAGTGTCTCCTCTTAGTTTAAGGGAACTGTAGCGAAAGCGCATTCTATTCCATTTGATCCACAACAAACACAAACAATAGATAATCCTGAAGTGGCAAAAGTATTTTGTCTTAAAAAATCATTTTTTTCCAAAAAAGAAAGGCTAGGCAAAACTATAAAAGACAAATCATATAGCATAAGTATGGAAGAATGAAATAATAAATAAATATGCTAGATACCTTCAGCCTCCACTGGCATATATTCAAGAAGAGTACACAAATAAACCAAAAGACATTTCAGGTTAACTAGCTATCATTTTTTCACAACTTGTGGAATTTTGGAAAATACTTAAAAATGAGGGAAGTGAGACCAGTTTAGCTCAATGAAGTTGACCAAGGCTGCAGTCTTTGCCTGGGGTAGAATGGAACTCCACCAGCTGTGTGGCCTTAAGAAAATGCTTAGCCAGTCTGTATCCCTGATGCCTCAACTGGAAAATGGAAAGTGATACCTACCTCATCAGGTTTTTTTTTAAAAGATGGTAATGAAATAATACCATTGAGCCTGGCATATAATAAGCATTCAATTTCCCCCATCCCCAGTCATACTTAAACAAGAATAAAGCCTTTAAGATTTGTTTCTGTCTAGCAAAAGTAATAGTAACAGAGAAAGGCTATATAAACAATTCTTAGATATTTTAAAAAGGGTAGACTTATAAAGTATGGTCTGAATTTGTAAAGAAAAGAAGTCTTATGGGGTAACCTAGAAAGAGATAAGCCTGATTTATTGGGTCTTAATAAACCCCAAATGATGTATAATAACCAATCTTCATCTTTCACCCCCTTACTTTGGAGTGGACGCAAAACCTTGGTGCTTGCGCACGTCTTCATAAATTGCTTTACCCCCTGTTCTCTTCAATTCAGACATGGACAGAGCACCGTATACCAATGAAAAGAGTTGGTCAGGTGACAATTTGAGTACATATTTCAACTTTGGCATGAACATTTTTTAAAAAATGGTATGTCCATTCACTGACACTTGTTTAAAAATGGACAATTTTTTAGCCTATACTAAAGATATCTTCATAGGCAAATTTTTAAAACTGTTCTCATGCAGCTATCAAAACTCATCTGTTTAACTGGATAATTCTTTTCAGGACCAGTCATTTATCACTGTTTCCCTGAGGAGATCACAATGAAAGGAATTCTATTAGAGTTCATATTAAGTCCTTCTTGAAAAGGGTTTTAAAGAGTGATTTGCTGATGTAATATAAAACATGTTGAGTTGTGTTCAAGAGTTCAGACTGTGAGTAAAAAGGAGAATTTCCTGAGAATTTTGTGGACATTTGATCTGCAGAAGTGGTCAGGAACAAACCACCTCAAGTTTAGGGTAACGAAGTGCCATGAACCAGTCATGCACTACTTGATGTCTTAAGCCAAATGTGATTCTGGAATGTGGAAATATGAGCCTACATCCCCAAGATTGCCAGGTTGCCAAAGTGCTGCGTCAGGTTCTGGGATTTCCACTTAAGGAGAAATGGAGACACTAGAAGAGAATCATTTAGCTGAGGGGTTTTGTCGGGAACAGTTCACGTAGGGAACAGTTCACGTTGGCAGTTACAGGGAATGGATGGGAGTTGAAAGACTGTGGAGTGATTTCTAGAAACAGTTATCCAGAATGTGTGTTCCTTCCCTTCCTGGTCATGTGGACAGAGTGAGAGCTTCCATCTAAATCAAGTCACAAGAGTTTACCTTAGATATAAGGAGAAGGATTTGAAGGTTGTTTTGCATTAATTCAAAATGTGTTCATCAGATTTTCCTGGGTCTAGCACCAGGCTATTTGTCATAATATAGGACTTAAAATCTCTTTTTTCCCCCTCCAACTTTTTGGAGTGGTGTGATTACACATTGAAGCAATTAGTCATCATGATAAAAACAACATTTATCAACAATTGTTCAGTTGATCCAATCATGTGCTATAAAAAACAGAGTTCCTTGTTATGGGTTATTGTTGAAAGGAGGTGAAATGTATTGACTGAATGTATTGGAGAGAGTGTCTAAGAAGCCGGGACCTGCAGTGGACCTTGGTCACATTGGAGAAGGAATTGTCCAAGGAGAGCACAGAATCATCTTAGAAGGCTTTTAAAGTTCCTTCTAAGTCTAATATTTTATATGTAACCTCTAGACAGAATCAACAATAACAACACTCTAGGCCTGTCCTCTTCCCCTTTGGACATTGTTTCCACATTGATTTTTCTCTGCTTCATAGAAGGTATTCTCTGGGGAGTTCCTGTTTGGGCTTTGTTTAAGTGACTTTGGGGATGCCTGCAGGCTCTGGATGAGTTTCCTCTCCTATGGCGTTTTTCTTTCCCCTGGGGCTCCA